AAAGAGATGAACGAGTTCTTCGGAATAGGCGTATTCCAATGATCAAAGTGCAATGGAGTAATTGTAGCCCCTCAGAAGCTACTTGGGAGACCTTGGAGTCAATGGAGGTTCAATTTCCTCATCTGTTTTCATAAGGTAAATTTCGAGGACGAAATTTCTTGTAGAGGGGGAGAATTGTAACAACCCGAAAATTTCAAAATAATGTTTAATTGAAATTTGAGGTTAATTATGAAAATTGATGAAATTTGGGGACTAAATTGGAAGTTCTTTAAACTTGTAGCTTCTTTTAGAGTTAAAAGAAAATTCAGGGACCAAGCCCTGAATTTACCCTTAAATGTTAGGTATGTTTTGGTTTATATATATGAATACGTGGTTTTCTGTTTTCAAAACAGAAAACCATGCCCAAATTTCCCTTCCCATACCTCAACTTCCGACGACGATCCCGACACCGTCCAAATTCTGATCGCCGTTTTGAAAGCACCATCGTGTTCGTTATCGAGTCAGGAACAATCCCTTCAATTTAATTGAAGCGAAACGCTGCCAAACACCGTGATTTTCAAGTCAAAGCATCGATTTTTTTAGCTCAATCGCCTAGAAAATCCTAAATTCATCGTCGATCGTTGCTCTGTTTACGACACCTCCCACACCATCGTGTTCATTGTGCCGTTTTGAGTCTGCCTAGAAATGGGTGCTATTTTGGTAATTTTTTTTTTGAAAAAAAAGGTGATATTATGGGAATTAATTCTAAATTGGTGCTATTTTGGGAATTAATTCAAAAAGGGTGCTATTTTGGTAATCATTTTAAAAATTGTGCCATTTGTGTAAAATGTTTGACAGTTTGTTGACCTCCTTTGACCAGAACTTTGACCGATTATTAAACGACCGTTAATCTTTTCCAAAAATACCTATCCTGACAGTTTTCGACGTCCCGAATCCGTTTTTTGGGTCCGTTTCGCTAAATTCAAACCCGAAAGTCTCCAAATCGTCAGTCAAACCTGTTGACTTTAATTTTGACCAAGAATTCGAAATTTCAGAAGGTCATACTTTATGTTTTTCGACGTCCTGAATTTGATTCCGAAGTTTGTTTTGCCAAATTCTGACCCGAAATTCCCGAATCAAGCTTGTGAAACCAAAAAGGCTCAATATTTTAGTATTTTGATTATTTATTTGAGATATGGTTAAGGAATTGATTAAGTAAGATATTTTATGAAGGTACTCGTGTTTCACCTGAGCAAGGATCAGTCAGGTCCGGTATTGTCCGTTTTTCATATCAGTCCGAACCGCATATTACAAGAACTACCCGTAGGTTTCCGTATATTATTTAATTAAAGATTAAGGTTATTTTTTTTATTAGAATTCGAATAAGGATTTTTCTAATTCGTAGGATCTAGCGCTGCAGCAGAGCGTGATCGACAAAACCAGTAATAAGCTTCCCTATCTGATTTCTCAGACTGTTACAGGTGTGTTTCCCTACCAGTGTTATCTTACAGTTATAAACTATATATCCGAACTGATTTATATTATGAGAATATAATATAATTTATGAGGAAATATCCGATATTTTGAATAATGTTTATTAAATGTCTGATTTACCGTATAATTTTTATATGGTTTATAGTTATAGTATTTTTGGTACATGATTTCTAAATATGAAACATTTCCATATTTAATGGATTAATTACTGTTTTTACTCCAATGCATACATGTTTATTTTGTCATTTGGGGTACGATTGAAGGAAGTATTATCAGGTCCCTTTGTTGTGTGCGAAGGTAAGCCTTACAGTTTACCAGGTCCCTTTGCTGTGTGCAAGGGTAAGCCTTACAGTTTCCCAGGTCCCTTTGCTGTGTGCGAAGGTAAGCCTTACAGTTTACCAGGTCCCTTTGCTGTGTGCAAGGGTAAGCCTTACAGTTTCCCAGGTCCCTTTGCTGTGTGCGAAGGTAAGCCTTACAGTTTACCAGGTCCCTTTTGCTGTGTGCAAGGGTAAGCCTTACAGTTTCCCAGGTCCCTTTGCTGTGTGCAAGAATAAACCTTACAGTTTTCCTAGGCTCCTCTGCTTTGTGCATAGGTTAAGCCTTACTGGTGTATAGGCGGTGTACAGTTCAGGTGAACCTACACAATTTGGTGAATTAGATGGGGGTAGTGTGCATGTTATTAAAATATATTTGATAAATTGTTTTATCTTATCTGAATTATTTTGTTATGTATATGTTATACACTGTATGGGACACACTGGGCTTTTTAGCTCATTCTGTAAATTTTAACCTTTTTCAGATAACAACAGACCGTAAGCTAGCAGATTTAGCATCAGGAGAAATCAACTACTTTATTTTGTACGAACATATATTTCTATATGTTTTTCGGTTATGTTTGGTGACATGTATTTTATTACCGTTTTGGACATATCTGTATTATTAATATTATGTTCTATATTATATTTAACGTTCTATAAGTTATATATATATAAAAAAAACCTCTGAATGGGATATGTGACCCGCTTAGGTTTGGGTCTATCTTACAGACCGGGTCTGGGGGGTTACATGTTTCCCGATCTTAAGTAAGTCATTCCAAAAAAAAGATCAATCTGTCAACCAAAAGGATCAATCCCTCAACAAAAAGGATCAATCTCAAACTTTTTGTTGTGCAAAGGATCGATTCCTTTCCAACAGGATTGATCCCTCGGGAAAAAGAATCGATCCCTCAACCAAAAGGATTATTTGTATTTTTTAAATTGTCATTTCTATTACAGAAATTGGCGATCGAACCTGTTTGACTGAGATATGATAAAATCTTATCCCAAAACTGATTATTTTGTAATTTTTAATAGTTGAGAGACTCAACGAAACAACATCTTATAGTTGAGATCATTTTGTAATTTTTAATAATCAAGAGATTCAACTAAGTAGCCCCTATAGTCGACGATTATTTGTGTACTTTATCCTTATTCTTATATAGATTTAGAGTTTTTTTATTTGATCTAGTTTAGATATGATTAACTTCCTTGTTGACTGCATAGAGCAATGAATCTTATTGGTGGTCCTTATTATCTTGTAAATGGATGTGTATAGCTGTTCTGTTTAGATAAGATGGATTTCTTGTTTTGATATTGTTTCTGCATGGATTTATTGAATGTGCTGTTTGTAACCCTCTTCTCTGATCAGGCTGCTGGTATTTCAAGGAAGCTCGTCCCCTACCATTGGTATTGCAGTCGATCACCGTCGGAAGAACCGATCCCTTGAAGGTCTTCAAGCCAATGCTCAGAGGCTTTAGACTTAAAAGGCCAAGCTCGTCGTCTTCCCAAGACGTGCTCGCAAGTTTAAGGTAAAACTTTGTTGTTTCTTTTTTGCATTGTGGAATCCTTAAACTTGTTTGATGTTCTTAAATGTTGTTTGTAGACTGGTGATTCTACTGCCGAGGAGCTTGCAACTGCCACCCAAGTCAAAGGATCATACCTGCCGATTTCTCGTGAGAAGCCTTCTGTTGAGCTGGTGAAGGTCACCGAGGGGATGAAGTCATTCAGGGCCTACAACAAGCTTCGTGTCGAACGAATGAATGAGCGCCATATCGGCACCTGATTGAAGAAGGCAGCTGAGGCTGAGAAAGAACACAAGAAGTGAGATTGTTTAGTCTTAGTCATACATTGTAGCTGGTATTGACATTGGAATATTCTGCTAAAATTATGAAGATCATTGGGTTACTCTTATCCTTGCTTCTTATCTTGAAACAACTCTGCCTCTGCCAGTTGGAATGCCACCACCACAACCACCACCACAACCACCATAACCACCATGTGTACCCTTATCTTCATACCCAACACCTTATAATCCAAACCCGTGTGATGCCGCTGCCCCCACCACCACCCTTTGTATCCTTATCTAAAATCGAGCACCATGTGTACCCTTATCTTCATACTCAACACCATCTTGTTCCGTTCTTGATGAGCCGTTAGTTTTGAATGTGTCGTTCGCTTATGCAACGGAATCAGGACCAGGTTTTTCGACATCGTTATAGTAATGCCAATCGGCATGGAGGTCATATATGCTTGAGGCAGAAATCTACTTCCAGGTTCAGTCTCCGGCCAAGATATTGCTAATAGAATTCTGGTGTCTGCTGTTTTGAAACTTCAATGGTAATGTTGGTAGTCGAGATTATCAAATTTCGGTTCATGATCTCATCATCGGAAAACAAATTGGCATATGCTACACAATCTTTCTTATTGAGGACATAAAGAAAATAATTTGTCATTTAAAGTCCTGATGAGGTATTCCAATGCGTCTTGATCTCATTATAGGTTCTTCCATGGAGACTTGGTACACCCCAATTTTCTTTAGGAAACATAAATTGATGTCAAATATTTAAAATTAAAAAATAAATTTATGCCAGCATAGTTGTTAATTGGCTTTTGATTAAGATAGAGGAAAAAAAGTAGGGATGATTCTGTTAAAATAAATAGGGTAAACTACGTATTTGGTACCTAAATTATCAGTTTTGATCTGTTTTAGTATCTAAACTTTTAATTTTTTTCAAAAACATAGCTAACGTTCAGTTTTTATTTTATTTTAGTACCCATCCGTTAAAAACTTAACGCGTTTAGTACCTAAACTATCAATTTTGGCCCCTTTTAATACCTAAACTTTGATATTTTTTTTCAAAACTTAACATTAAATTTTGAATGGGTACTAAAATGAAACAAAAATTAAAGTTTGACATGGTACTAAAATGAAATAAAAACTAAATTTTAGATATGATTTTGAAAAAATAAAAGTTTAAGTACTAAAAAGGACTAAAAACTGATAGTTTTCTATATCCAAATAAATATTTCGGTGACTAAATGGATACATAGTGATAAATTGATGACCAATGGTATGGTTTACCCTTAAAGAATCCTAATACTGTTTGAGCTAAAACCAACCAATACAATGCCACCAGTGTACTGATCGACCCTTACCTTATCGCATGATCGTTGTCTCTCCCAAATCTTCAACTTCCTACAGCCATAAAACCAATCATTGTCACACAAAAAGCTAAACAAAAAGCCCTCAAAAATCTGAATTTGTTCTCATTTTCGCTAAGCTAATCCATACCAGTATTGCAATGCCACCGCCAACAGCCTCCCTCTCCGTTTCTTCATCTCCATCTATCTTCCCGCTCTCTTCTATCGCTTCTTCTTCCAGTAAACCCCAAATATGCTTTTGCCCCAATCCCACCAGATTCACCGGTTTCGCTTCCCTCTCCAAACCCAAATCCCATCACCGCAAACTCACGCCGCTCTCCGCCGTTTCCATCGAGAAAGAAACCATGATCTCCGAGCGCCCCCACACTTTTCTCCGCGAAACCGACGGTCAAGACGACGGATCCGTCAGGTCTCGCTTCCAGCGCATGATTATGGAGGTGCAGGACAGCGTGTGCGCCGCCCTCGAGGCTGTCGACGGAGCTGGGAAGTTCAAGGAAGACGCTTGGACGAGGCCTGGAGGCGGTGGGGGAATTAGTAGAGTGTTACAAGACGGAGCGGTTTTCGAAAAGGCTGGTGTTAATATCTCCGTTGTTTATGGGGTTATGCCCCCCGAAGCTTATAGGGCTGCCAAGGCTTCTGCCGCCGATGAGAAGCCCGGTCCCATTCCCTTTTTCGCCGCAGGTGTCAGCTCGGTAATTCAAAGCTTTCAATTTTCCACTTGAATTTTGTTAAATTCCATTGAAATAGGAGAACGCTTAAATTGTGTTTTGGGTTGCATTGCGTTTATAATTGTCTTTTGGGTTGCATTGCATTTATCGAAGCTGTGTACATAAGGAATGCTATTAGAGTCGCAGTTGTGAAATTTTCTTAAATACACACAATTTATCGTAAAACATAATAATTTTAATTTTCGCAATGAACTAGAATAATTTTCTTTTAATTTTACCTTAATGCAACAATAATTGGGATAGTGGCCCATCATTGGTGTGATTGGACGTTATCTACCGCTTTTTCTCGACAATAGGATTTTGGATGTTGCTGCCACTGCCATATAGCAGCCGCTGTTGCTATAGTGGACCGCTATTTAAATCCTTGGATAATAGTATTTATTGTTTGGTTTTGTTTTGTTTTGTTGTTGTTGTTGCAGGTTTTGCATCCCAAGAACCCGTTTGCTCCAACATTGCACTTTAACTATAGATATTTCGAAACCGATGCTCCTAAAGGTACTTAATTTATCCTTCATTATTGTTGTTAAGTTGAACCATGCGTGCTAAAATGATAGTTTAGAAGGATGTGATGCTTTTCTTTTCAATGGCAATTCGATAGCAATGAATACTATGCTTTATAGTTTGCTTTCATACTTGTTCTTCATAAGCAAGAAAAAAGATAGTGTCTTGATGGAGGTTTTCAATTTGCCTTACTTTCCTTAGTTGGTTTCACTGTACTTTGTCATCATCTATTGCATTGGTATTATTTTGTGCGTTTGACTCTTACTTTCTGTAAACTTACTCGTCCAACATCCATGCCCTACAGTTACTGGGACATGGGTCTGAAGAAATATATCGAAATCTTTGAGAAAAATTGAACATACTTACGTCACACGCCTATTTGAGTCACACTCGCATTTCAGTTCCAGTAACATAGTTTTAGTTTGTGACTCGTCTTGAGAATGTGCAGATGCTCCTGGAGCACCTAGACAATGGTGGTTTGGTGGTGGAACTGATTTGACTCCAGCTTACATCTTTGAGGAGGATGTCGAGCATTTTCACTCGGTAAGTTGAATTTTTCCTTTTTATTCTACCCCTATTAAAGCTTGAAACATCTGCATTTAGCATGATTAAAAGACCATTGAGCTTAAGCAGCTAGAACTAATTGGTAGTTTCCATTTGAAAAAGTAAAATAATATCGATGTTATCAGGTGAAATTTGCAGAAATCAAGTATTTGAAAATATCCTTTTTTATTTCAACACCCTACTAAATTATTTACAGATTTAATGGAAAACTGCAAAACTTGTGTACCTATAGCACTATGCTTATGCAGAGATCATTAATTGTAGTTTGTAGAATATCATTTCAACAATGAAGTATTTTTCTGAATCTTCTTTTGTTAACATTGCCTTTCTTTTTCAGATACAAAAACAGGCTTGTGATAAATTTGATCCATCCTTTTATCCACGTTTCAAAAAATGGTGTGATGACTATTTTTACATTAAGGTATGATCTTGCCAGATTTTTTCAGTGCCACACTTGATTCATATATAGTTCCTGAGTTCTAGAATTGTGTATCGCATTAAATTAACAAAAAGGGGCACTATTGCCATTCAATGAGTTGATCTGTGATTGCCATTTTTCTTTTTTGCTCAAAGTCGGGAATGGAAGTAAAGTCCGAAGAGAGTTGGAAGAAAACTATGTGTATAGGATTTGAATTAACAAAAATGGGGTATAGTTAATACACAACTCCTTTCCCCCATTTTTTGAAATAGAATTGGAGGAACAATCATACACATTAAGATGAAGACAGTGTTAATTTGAGCTGTTGGAAGCTTGGTGGTTTTCAATTTTTTTTTTGATAGGAATAGGATGCCTCATTAAAAACCTCCCTCATAGTGGTCCTCTGCCCTAAAGTAGGACCAACTAGCGGAAGGAGGAAAAGAGTGCATCAATTTATTGATAATAAACCAGATACATAAGGCTTAAAAACAGTCTTGCAAACTACATAAAACTTAAAAACAGTCCTGAGGGTACTTTGCTCTTAAGGCTTACACAACTGCCTAAGCAAGGACAAAAATTACCCAATTCCTTCCTTTGCTAACTTATCGGCCTCACAGTTACACCATCTAGGAATCCACCTAACAAGAGCCTGAATAGCAGAAATAATAGACACAATTTCCTTGACAAGGTTTGACAGAAAAGCAGGTGCAAGAGCTTGGTCTTTAATCCAATCCACTGCTATCTTTGAATCGCTTTCAATAATTAGTCTGCCCTTCGAAGCCCATTGTGATGAAACAAATAGGTCAATTCCTTTTTTGATAGCCTTCAGCTTTGCTAGGATAGTAGGAGAAGGACCGACACTTTCTGAAAACGAAAAAAGAATATCCCGATTCCAATCTCTGAGAATACCCCCTATTCCAGCTTACATACCAACCGTACTAACAGCCCCATCCACGTTCAACTTAAAAGAATCCACTGGAGGAGGACTCCAACAAATCGCCTTCCTATTTAAATTATGAATTACGAATTAAATGAATAAACTTCATTGTTAACTTTTAATGCTATATGCAGCATCGGGGTGAAAGACGAGGTCTCGGGGGAATATTTTTTGATGATCTGAATGACTATGATCAAGAGATGCTTCTTTCATTTGCCACTGGTAAACATTAATCTTCAAGTGTTCCCTATCTATAACAAGCAATTCCAATGGACTGCACTTCTTTAATACACCGATTTACTATCGGTTTGCAGAATGTGCGAATTCTGTGGTTCCTGCATACGTACCAATCATAGAGAAAAGGAAGGATATCCCATTTAATGAGAGCCAAAAGGCATGGCAACAGTTGCGAAGGGGCCGCTATGTAGAATTCAACTTGGTATGGAATTGACCCATATGTAAACTAGATAGATTGGAAATCTTAAATTTCACTAAGAAACAGACCTTTAAATTTTACTTCATTTGTCAATGAAAGGTCTATGATCGAGGCACAACATTCGGACTGAAGACCGGAGGTCGAATCGAAAGTATTCTTGTCTCTCTCCCTTTATCTGCACGATGGGAGTATGATCACGTAAGCTTTCCCTTAAAAAAATACTCGATCTTTGCCGATATTCACTGTAATATGTTACCAAGAAGCTGTAATTGATAATGGAAGGCCTATTTCCTGTTTTGACATGCAGAAACCAGAAGAGGGGAGTGAAGAATGGAAATTGTTAGATGCTTGCATCAATCCTAAGGAGTGGATCTGATACTTCTGATTGAGTTTCTTTCTACCCTTTCGAAATTGTTATATGGTAGTGTTTCTATGCAAGGAAGTTGTATGTTAATTCCATGGTTTTGTTGTATCAAAGTGAAGATTTGTTCATGTGAATTCTTTGAAAGTGTTGAAATCGAAAAAATGATTTCCCCCTGCAACTGCAACTCCCTGCTGCATTTTTCATTCCCTACATTGTAATTATCATTCTGTAGATGATGAAACGAAATTACTTGGCAAAAATCTTTTCACATTGTGCTTATCAAACTGACCTACATTGACAATGGAGATATAGCAGTTAATATCAACAAAATATTGGTTGACTAGTCATTCGTGAAGTCAACTACATTCCACTTTGTCAAAAGAAACCATGTTCCGAGATAATATGCCATATTTCTGATTTCTTTTACCTATAGAAAGGCATATCCACAAAAGCCTTTGATGAATTTCACCTTTAGAACTCAAAATGAATGGCAAACTCTCATTGTTGTGTTGGATTTCGACTTGGCCAATCGAGGAACTTGTACCCTAGAAGTGAAGGTGGTAGATATGTCTGAGTCGACGAAGATGGGTTATCTGGGGGATATATATAATCCTTTCCGTAACCAAGTTCCTTCATAAGCTTGGTTGGTGCATTCCTTAAATGAAGCGGCACTCCCTCGTTCTGTCCTACGGATTCCTGAACAACCTTTTGTGCAGCTCTGATGGCTTGATACACAGCAATAGATTTGGGAGCCAAAGCTAAGTAAGTAACACATTGTGCAAGAATCACATTACACTCGGGCATGCCCAAGAAATGACAAGTTTGGTAACAGGAAACAGCCTGGTTTAAGGCTAATGGATCAGCCAATCCGACATCCTCACTAGCAAACCTTATTAGTCTGCGTGCAATGTAAAGGGGCTCCTCTCCTCCTTCCAGCATTCTTGCCAACCAGTAAATTGCTGCATCTGCATCACTTCCTCGCATCGACTTGTGGAGCGCACTGATCAGATTGTAATGTTCGTCCCCTGCTTTGTCATACGCAAGATGCTTGCATTGGAGTGCCTCTTTAACATCATCCACTGTAACAACGGCTGCAAATGAACTGATCATATTTTCCTCACTCGCAGCAGAATCAGAATCCCTATCCAGCTCTAATCCTACCTCTTTTTGTTTCAGTTGATTATCAGCCACTCGAGCAGCCGCAGTGGTGGCAGAGATTTCTAAAGCATTCAACGCCACACGAGCATCACCATCACAATTCATAGACAGAAATTCCAGAGCATCATCCTTAACATTGACCCTCATCCCTACGCTCTGCGACAATCCCTTCTCTCGATCGTTAACAGCTCTCTTCAAAAGAGTATCAACATGATGGGGTTTTAAAGGATTCACTGTAAGAACCCTACACCTAGACAACAATGGCGTAATCAAATGGAATGAAGGGTTCTCTGTGGTAGCCCCCATAAACACAATGCTTCCATCTTCAATCACTGGCAAGAAAGAATCCTGTTGTGATTTATTGAACCTATGAACTTCATCAACAAAGAGTACAGTCCTCTTATTATTCTTAACCCTCATTCTCCTGGCTTCCTCAACAGCATCTCTAACATCCTTAACACCACTAGTAACGGCAGATAACGATACAAATCGATACAAAGACCGCTCTTGAGCTGAATTAACAACGGACTTAGCAATGGAAGTCTTACCAGAACCTGGAGGACCCCAAAAGATAATAGAAGGGATTCGATTACGATCAATGGCAGAACGGAGAAGAGAATTGTTACCCAGAATATGATCTTGACCGACTACTTCGAATATAGTACGAGGACGCATCCGTTCCGACAAAGGCTCATGGGTTTGATCAGTTTTGCCTAGTTGAATAATGGGTTTGAGATGTTGTAACTTTTGACGTTTGTTGTGGAGAGGATATGAGGTGGTGGAATCATCATCTGGGTCGTTTTGGGGTACGGTGCGGATGCTTGGGCCGGTGGCGGTGGCGGTGGCGGAGGGTTCAGGTGATGTACGGGAAGGGGAAAGCTTGGTGTGAAGATGGAAGAAGCGGTCGAGTTTGGGTTGGAATGGAGTAGGAGAGGGGTTCGAGTTCAGGTTCGGGTTCGAGGATTTTTGGGAAAGAATCCATTCGGTGGCTTTGAGGGTGGATTTACCGCCGGTTGCGGTAAGAGCTTGTGCTGCTAATTCACTTGAGAATCCCATACTTAAGAGCTGCTCCATTTCCATCTCCATAGGAATCTGGCACAAAAAAGGAGCTCTCTTTCTTCTTCTTGGGATAAATACACAATATAATGGGCACTTAAGTGTGAGGCCCCAAGCTCTTTTTAATGCCTAACTTTACTCTTCAAATTCCCTTAATGGCCCAACAAAAGAGGATTCTTTATAACTTTTTACATGTTTATGCACATTGAGAGGGTGGGCCTAAGGAGTGATGGCACACAGCCTTTCCATTCCTCTCTGCCGCCGCCTGTCACTTCATTTAGCACCACCACCACCAAAGGCAAAGTTCCTCTTCTTTACAAAAGCCCAGAAATCAATGAAGACACGGCAGCTAAAGCCGTGACAGTCCAAGTCCTTTCATGGGGGAGGGGAGCATCAGGCCAACTAGGCGGTGGCATTGAAGAAATCAGAATTTACCCATCTGCGGTACTCAATCTCCTCTTTCCCGATGCTTCTTTTTCTCTCTCCCCAGCCCCAGGCAAAATCTTCGATCAAAGTGGCCAAAAGGAGCAAACTTTGCACTCGGTTGGGGTATCATGCGGGTTGTTCCATTCGGGTTTGGTTGTGGATGGCAAGTTGTGGATGTGGGGCAAAGGTGATGGGGGTCGTCTTGGTTTTGGCCATGAGAATCCTGCTTTTTTGCCTACTTTAAATCCTCACTTGGATTCTGTTTCCTCCGTTGCCCTTGGTGGTATTCACTCTGTGGCACTAACTTCAAAGGGGGAGGTCTTTACTTGGTCAGTTCTCGGTCTTCCTTCATTTCACTTGCTCAATACTTGCCTTGCTCTCTTCATTGATCTTGATCTAGTTCAAATTATAATCCTGGATGAAAACAACTTTGCTTTGTGCCATTCTCTCCTTTGAATGCTTAGCTGCCAACAATTTTGATAATTAGCTAACTGAAACATACATTTGACTAGATATCAGAAACTAAACCATAGCCGTTATATGAGAATTCAAGTTAATATACAAGATGCTATTGAGGTGACAGAAGAAAAATGATATTGGAACTGGTGTTCTATAGATCTAGTCTATGACTGGAAGTGTGGAAATTACTTCAATGTTTATAAAGGCTTAAAGTAAAATAAAAGTCCCTAAACTATGCTCCTTTTTTGACCAAAAAAATAGTTTAGGGGCTTAAATAAAAAAAGAGCATAATTTAAGGATTTATTTTGACCAAAAGATAGTTTAGATACATAAAATGGTTACATTATACATATAATAGTTTGACTTATTTTGACCAAAATCTAGTTTAGGTGCTTAAATAAAAAAAGGGTATAGTTTAGGGGCTTTTTTAGTTTAAGCCTTTGTTAAATGATCATGTAAGAAGCTTTCTTTTAAGTTTCAAATAGTTGTATGTATCAATGAGGCTAAAGATCATTTTTAAGATTCAACTCAAGATTTCTTCTATTGCTACCAGATATGTGCAATAAACGAACATTGTCCGAATGATTTATATCATAATTCGCAAACTAGAAATTTAGATATAAAATTCATCTTTTCTGGATTGAAGCGTTTAATCAAATCAAATGGTTCTTTTATAAACATTTATTCTACAGCCTAGAGCTGTATGTGTTTGTTGTACACTTAAAAAAAAGAGTTATGGAGTGGAAGAGTTAGATGAGGAAGGAGATGCTTAGTTGATCATAATTAGCGATTTTCTGGTTGAGTCGATTTCTACCATTCATCTGACAATTGTGTTTGATAGGTAGAGGAAGAAGACAGTTTGAGCTAATCAACTGAATATCATTACATGTTCTTTACATTGTAAGACTATTTCTAAAAGCCTTTTCAAGGGATGGAAGTGGTGAAATTTTTGCTTACTTGGTAGTCCAGTAATTGAAAAGTCTGTGGCGATCTTGCTTCGTTGAATCGTTTTTGGTCAAAACCATTAATACAAACTATTCCTCTTTTTTAAAATGAAGTTTGCAGGGGTTATGGTGGTTTGGTGCACTCGGACACCGTGTTTATCATAGAGAACTCATACCAAGATTGGTAGAAAGCAATTGGAGTGGAACTATACGTCATATTGCAACTAGTGGGACGCATACTGCTGCCGTCACCGAAACAGGTTTCCATTGTTGTCTGTCATCATAAAATAGATCTTGGCTTTCTATACCTGTGATCTTGCTATATGAAAACGGAACTCATGTCATCGATTAGCTTGCTCAATTACCTTTTTGTTTCTCTGTAGACAATATTATTATGTATGCTCATCAGATTGTAGGTGTTCAACTTCATATATTTTTTGTTGTTTTCCCCCATCTGAATCCAGCTGTTATTCATTGAATCAGGCGACTTATACGCATGGGGCCGAGACGAAGGGGACGGAAGATTAGGCCTTGGTCCCTGTCGTGGCCCAAATGAGGGAGGTGGGCTTAGTATTCCATCCAAAGTGAAAGAATTATCTACTCCTATCGCCGCAGTTTCCTGTGGCGGTTTCTTCACAATGGCATTGACAGAGGATGGACAACTTTGGAACTGGGGTGGTAATGTCTCCACCTGTCTATATATTTTTCATTTCCTTCTGTTGTATTCCAATGGATATTTAATTATCTTTATATTGGTTTCTTGTGACTTGTCCTCATTAGTTATTACTTCGGCTTATTTCTGTTTTGTCTATTAAACGACGAATTAGCTTCCTATATCAGTTCCATTGATATTTACAGTTTTTTTTTCATGCCTACTCATCAAACTCTAACTATGAGCTTGGAAGAGGTGATAAAGTTGGTGGTTGGAAACCCAAACCAATTCCTAGCCTTGAAAGTACTCGTATTATTCAGATAGCAAGTGGCGGATATCATTCTCTTGCATTAACAGGTAAAACCGGTGTCGCGGGTCCTTTTCTCCTTTTCGATTCTTTAGTATGTCCTTTTATTGTTATACTAGAAATATTGATTCTTGTTGCCGTTTTATGTTAGATGACGGTAAAGTACTTTCATGGGGCCATGGAGGACACGGTCAGTTGGGTCATTCTTCTATAGAAAATCATAAAGTTCCTGCAATAACTGAAGCTTTGTCCGAAAAGCGTGCTATGTACATTGCCTGTGGAGGTTCATCTTCCGCGGCTATAACCGGTATGTCGTGTATACATATATGTGTAATTGATAGCTCAAGCTCTGTAGTTTCAGTCACGTGACAATTTAGCCATGAAAAGTGTGGACCCTCTACGTCTTTCGTATTTACGCAGTCATAGAGGTCCTCAGAAATAATGTACATTTTTCAAGTAATATCATCCATTATATGCCCACATGAAGACAGTAGCTTGATTCAAACCTAGGTTCAGTACACGTCTCTCACAACCAACCACTGAGGATCATAGTCGGATACGGTTATTTCCACTTTTATGATTCTTGCAGCAATGATCATCACGGTCATGTTTATGTGCTTTTACCGACTTTTTGTTGTTTTAAACAGATGAAGGAAAGTTATACATGTGGGGGAATGCAAGAGATTCACAACTGGGAGTTCCTGGGCTACCAGAGGTTCAAGCAAGTCCTGTTGAAGTCAATTTTCTAATGGAGGACGATGGATTGGGACCCCACAATGTGCTATCCGTTGCAGTCGGGGCATGTCATGCAATGTGTTTAGTCTTGAGATCAACTTGTTAATGATGACGCAATACAAGGAATCCCTTGCAATGGTGCCTGCAATTTTGTTTTGAAGGAAGAAAGAGTTCCAAGGTCGAGTTCCATGGTGATATGGATCTCCATTGTTTCATTGTTTAAAGCCTTGTTAAAGATTTGCTGCCTACCGGCCATTATAAAATGCTGTTGCAAGGTTTAGGTTCTACGTTCAGAATGAACTGGTTAGAGTGAAAATGGTATCCAGAACATATGGCTATGAGATCTGTTCAGTCTGTTTACAATAATATCGACTTTTCGACATCTCAGCGAATGCAGATGTATTTTAGTTTGCTTTTTAGTTCAATCTCCCTGCCCCTAATAACATGAAGTCTAAATTTATTTCATGCTTCATTTGATTCCACGGTGTAGATAATGAAGCCAAATTCTAGGAATAAGCCGATATCAAGAACCGAGACCACCATAGCTTAATTTCCCCACAACACGGTCATAAATTTAGCACAAAATGCATGTTTTCTACGTACATAAACTTAAGTGCAGGAGGAAGATGAATCTAATCTTGTGGTTCAAACAAACACGAAAATACTACTTGCATGATAAGTCACGCAGCGAAAAGAGGATCAAACATGATCTTGGTTGCTGCAGGCACTATGTTTGACCCTGTTCTCTGTCTAATCTTTCTTCATTTTTGGTTTTAGTCTATAAAACTTCCATTTTTGATGATAGTATCACATGGATTTCAATAAAATAAACCAATCACGGCATGCATGCTTGCTTTGGAGAGAAAACATAAACCAAAAGAGTAGGGATAAACGGCAGTTCTCGCATCTCAGGTCATTAATTAAATGCTCAAAATATGGCTTACAAATGTAGTACCTAAAGCTGCTTTAAAACTCATCTGAAAATATGGGGAAATAAAAGCTTTTACCAAATCAAATAGCTGAAGATACCCCTCTAAGAACATCCTCACTTCTTGTCTTCCTTCTCAGCCTCGGCTGCCTTCTTCAATCTGGCACCAATATGGCGCTCATTCATTCGTTCAACACGAAGCTTGTTGTAGGCCTTGAACGACTTCATCTCATCTGTGACCTTCACCAGCTCAACAGAAGGCTTCTCACGAGAAATAGGCATGTATGATCCATGGAATTGGGTTGCAGTTGCAAGCTCCTCGGCAGTAGAATCACCAGCCTACTCAGAACAAACATTTATGAACACCAAACAAGTTCAAGGATCGATCCCACGATGCAGAGAGAACCAACAAAGTTTTACCTTAAACTTGCGAGCACGTCTCGGGAAGACGACAAGCTTGGCCTTGAAAGTCTTGAGCCTCTGAACATTGGCTTGAAGACCTTCAAGAGATCGGTTCTTACGACGGTGATCAACTGCAATACCAATGGTGGGCGCAAGCTTCTTTGAAATACCAGCAGCCTGATCAGAGAAGAAGGTTTACAACGGCACATTCCATAAAGCCATACACAAACAATATCAAAACGAGAAAACCATCTTATAAAAAACAAAACAGCTAATACACACCCATTTACAAGCTAACAAAGACCACCAATAAAATTCATTGTTCTACGTAGTCAAGAAGGATATTAATGACATATAAACTAGATCAAATAGAAAACCCTAAATCTATACAAGATTAAATAGAAAAAACCCTAAACAAGAGAAAGCAGAAGAGCATACTTTAAGCTCTTCAAGAGTGAAACCCTTTCCAGCTCTCAACTTCATGTTGTACTTCAAAGTCTGGCCATGGACAATGGGACGTAGTGGTCCAGAAGTTGGCCTCGGGAAGATCCTTACAGCCTTCTTTTGCCTTGCTGAAAATCACAAAACCCCAAATTTCAAATCAAAAAACATAAAAATGAGTTGACAAAAAGGGATAAAGATAAAAACCCAGAGTAGATTAGCTCACCGATTCTTCTTCTGGTCTTTCTTGCGGGCTGATTGAACCATGTTTTCACATAGCTCTGCCAATGCTTCTTGAAATGGCCATTCGGTATAACATTGTTATGCTTAACCATGGCTTACCCTGTGATTTTGTGTGGAAAAAGAAACCAAATCGTTAAATGATAATATCAAATAGAAAAGAAAATTGGGAGAAAAAAAGAATCAGAGGAAACGAAAGGGAGAACCTTTGGCTGTGAGGCTAACCGGAGAGACTAAGGGAAGAGAGCGGCGCAAAGGAAAATCTTAAGCCCTTAGCCTCTTATTAGGGTTTTTCTCGATAGTGGTGGGTTTGCCTCTGTGTTAAGTGGGCTTAACTAAAATGTAAGCCCAAATATGATTAACTATTAAAATATGCTATAGAAGTCCTCGTAGTATGTACTGTTTACGGTCTAGTCTCTTTAATATTATCAGTCTTTTAAATTGTTCATAACGAGTCCTCAAAACAAAATTAAAATATAATGTTAACGATGATTTTTAAAAAAAGGTCGAATGATCAAAACATAATCAAAATAATAATTAAGTGACTAAATATGTAATTTATCTTATTTTTCTATGAATATAATATCTGTGCATATGTGGGTAGATGTTTGGGAGTCTAAAATTGATTTTCGAGTTGGATCTCTTTAAACCTAAGATATTTTAAAAAAAGGACAAGTAAAGGAAAAAGACTTTGATCTCTAGAGTTTTCATTCGAAGATCACAACGGTCCTTTTCTTGGGGGTGGAGAGTAACATATTTCTGTTTCGAAATCTAACACAGATAACCGAGACCGAATAATAAGAAAATGAAGAGTTTAATATTGGATTTATAGAGATTCAAATTTTTTATTAAACGAATATCTAATTCGCGTTTAAGAATATAAAACCAATTTGGTGAAAAATTTTAGGATTCATTAACCATCCTTCGGTTGGTTTGAGCAAAGAGAAAGAAAAAAAGAGAAAGAAAATAAAAAGGAAAAAATTGAAAAAGAATTTTTAATCTTTTAGAGATTCAAAACGGTGATATTTGATGACTTTTATAAGAATTAAAAATGATATAATTTTGATGTGACATCAGATCATGTGTAATGTTATTGTATCGTTTATGATTTGACGGTTGTACAATAAAAAACGATCTAATATTAAAGTTGGATGATAAAATAAATAATTTTTAAACTTTTTTTTGAATTAATCACTGATATCTAATCTATTGATTGATTAATCCAAATCGGATATTGCAGAGGCAAGTGTAACTCTCTCATCCCAGTTTGCTTCATTTGCAAACGTCAGGATTTGAACCCCTAACCTTACTTAAGAGACTTAGTGTCTCATATATCCCACTATACCAACTAATTGTTGATAATAATTTTTAAACTTTAATAACTAAAAGAAGAGTAAAAGTAGATAGAATTTATAATTTATCTTAAGGGTTAACTACTTCAAATAACACTCACCTTTTAAGTTCAGGCTCGTTTATGTCAGTAACGTTAATCCATTAACGGGACGATGACATTGTATCTCCATTCCGTGACGACAATGATGTGGCTCCCTCGTCAAAACGATGTCGATTTGGCACGACCATTTTGATGCTAAAAAAACTCAAAACGATTTCGTTTTGTTGATAGAAAAAATGATTTCAATGAGATTCGAATCATAAGCCTTTAGGAATTAAAACTAAACACCCAATCACCAAGCTAGATTAATTAAAAACTTAACAAAAATATTATAAAACTTAAATAACATTTTGAATTTTGAAATTTTAATTTTTATAAACACATACTAATAGTCATCCCTTTCCTTTCTTCCTCAACAAAACCCTAAAAATGGAAGCTTCCTCCCATCATCATCTTCTCCATTCTTCTTTGCCCTTACATCCAGAACAACAAAAACTCAAACTTTCTCAGTTCATTCCAACGTCATTGTGATAAATGTTTGTATATATCTGTTGGCTATAGATACAGTTGTGTTTCCTGCGATTTCTGACTTGATTTCGCCTATGCTTCTTCAACCAGTGGTGAGCTTCCTAATGATTATGAGCCGCTGAGGTTTAAAGATGGGAAGAAAAATACAATCCAACATTACAGCCACGTTCACAAGTTGAACTTCGTCAAATATAGGAAGATACATGGAGAAGACTTGGATTGTTTCTGGTGTGAAAAACATCTATCGGGAGCGTGCTACGGTTGTTTCGAAAACGATGCAAGTTCTATCTTCATATCGAATGCAGTGACAAGATACCAATGACACTTGCTCATCCTTTTCATCCTGGCCACACTCTTCGCTTAATGTGTACCTACGGGGGTTGCTATGCTTGTAAAAGATATGCTAAACTTGGGTATATGTGCGAGATGTGCAGCTTCCACATTGGTATTGACTGTGCTAAACTCTTTCTCACCCTAAAACTTGCCAGCCACCCTCACCTTCTCACATTGGTATTGACTGGGTTCTTTGGTTCCTCTGTAAAGCTTCCATTTTTTAACAACTACGTTGGAATAGACTGAGAAAGTTTGAGTTTTTGTGGTTGTTGATGCAAGGAAAAGGAAGAATGGAGAAGATGATGATGGGAGCAAACTTCCATTTTTAGGGTTTTGTTGAGGAAGAAAGGAAGGAGATGACTATTAAGCTGTGTTTATTAAAATAAAAAATTCAAAATGTTATTTAAGTTTTATAATAGTTTTGATAAGTTTTTAACGAGTTATTAAGTTACCTTGGTGGTTGGGTGTTTAGTTTCTATTCCTAAAGGTTTATGGTTTGAATCACATCGAAATCATTTTTTCCATCAGTAAAATGACGTCGTTTTGAGCTTTTTGAGCACTAAAAATGTCATGCCAAAACGACGTCGTTTTGGTGAGGGAGCCACGTCATCGCCGTAACGGAATGTAGATGTCATGTCATCGTCCTGTTAATGGATTAACGGCGAGGTGATATAATTGCAGTTAAACATAAATGTCAGTGTTAAAATTGACAAAATTAAAAAGTTAATAGTATAAACTAGTCCGAGCTTAAAGGTGAGTAGTATTTGAAATAATTAACCCTTATCTTAAATTATAATTATAAAAGTAATACTTGACTATTACTAATAAATATAAACTTGATTCACTAACACGAGATATTAGTTTAACTGTGATAGTATGTTACAATCGTTATTTAAATTTGAAACGATTATTAAACAAATCATATGTCGAAATTCAAATGGAAATTTACAAGTTCAAGCAGCCTTCGAATAGATAAATTATAAATTTAGCAACCGAACTTTATTCTTTCTTTTATATTATATATTGTACTTTTATTTTTTTTTCAATTTAATCATTTAATTTTATATATTGAGTTTTTTTGTCACTCCACCATTAATTTTCTAACAACAATATGATGTGGATTAAATAAATATTTTTGAATCATTAAAAAAGGTTCAAAATAATTTATTTTTTCATTTTCATTCTTTTTTCTTCTTCCTCATCCTTTCATTTTCTCTCTTATCTCTTTGTTCAACTTGAACAAACTCAGATTTTGGTCATCATACTGACAGTCGTTCTACTACCACCAATCACAGTCATTAGAGGTCCCACCGAACGCGTCTCACCATTTTGAATATAAATTTGATGTTTGTTTAACTAGAAAACACTTCAAACTTCATATATCTAAAAGAAGAGAGGGTGAAATCTAACAGTGTCATCTGATTATCCAAAAGAAGATGCGAAAGCCTTGCACAGTTTAGAGGTGAACAACAATCCTTTCGGTGCAACCCTTACCATATATCACCTTCAGAATGACATTATTCTAACTACTCAATGTATGGAGGGACCGATTGCGTACAAGTCTTACTAGTCCAATACCTCAAGACACGATGATTTTGAGATTTTGGATTAGAGTTTTAAAAGTAGAATTTACAAAAAAAAATTATTTTTTAAATTGTAAATTATATGTGGCAGGCTTTATTATTAAAATAAGTTATGTAAGAACTCTATTAATGAGAAAACAATCGAGTAAAAAAAATTAATGTATAAAGTTTAGTGATTAAATTAAAAAATAAAAAGTACAATGAACAAGATAAGAGAAAAAGTAAAGTTCAATTCCTAAATTTGTAATTAACTTGTTTTGGAATTAAGACTCACCAGATACACCCATTCCTAGTTCCTAAATAAATTTCATTTAAATATAGGGTGATGTAAACAAATGGTCCCTCGTCTATAGGGTGTTGCTTTGTTGAGTCTTTTGACTAGTAAAAATTACAAAATGATCCCCCTATTATATGATGTTGCATTGTTGAGTCCCTCAACTATTAAAAGTTACAAAATGGTCACATGACTATTTATATATTCCAAATTCATCGTTTTGTTAAAAAATTGATGGTCATATGAGTTTCATGTTAACTTGCTTACATAGATATGATAAAATATGATTGTAAAACCGTTTGAATTGTATAATCGTTTAAGATTTTGGGATCAAATTTTATCACATCCTAGTTAACAGATTAACGTCTAACTCAGAAATGAGGGGTTTGTGTAAGCTCTTACGACAATTGAATAATGCCAAGAGAGGAGGGAATTGGCCTTATAAAAATTTTGGTGGAAGCAATCGAAAAATAAAAACTTTTGCACAACGATTTAGAGTGGTTCGACTTCTAAACCAAGTCTACATCCACTACCTTAGCATCCACACTAAGGATTTCTCAAATATACTATATTTTCTTACCTTTGAGGACAAGGTGTAACCTTACAACAACCCACAAGGTTTATACCCCAAAACCTTTTTTACACTCTTTCCACAAGAGGAATTACAAATAAAGCAAACAAAGAGAAAATCTCACGGGGCAAATGTGTTTGGACTAATTAAGCTCTCACCCAAATCGCACTTGAGGAAAATAAACAATGAAGCTCACAAGTGTGTTTACAACAAAGAATTTGACAAATTAAGCACAAAACAAAACTTTGATGTTGGTAGGTTGGTTCAATGTGTTTCTTGTTGACCTTGGGAAGTTTTGACCTTGAATTTATACCTTCTCCATTAGTTCTAGATGTTTAGAGTAGTCGGGAATCATTATAGTCATTATCTATAACCAAAAATAAAATTTAATGCACAAGGGATCGATTCTTTTGGTGAAGGGATTGATCCTTTTTCTCGAGGGATCGATCCTTTAGGGATCAATTCCAAACTCACTAGAATCCAAGGGATTGATCCTTTTGCTAGGGGGTCCATCCTTTGAGCCAAAAAACCTTGGAAACTTAACTTTAAAGACCAAAAATGATCGAGTAAGGTTTTGAAAAAGCTCAACTAAGTTGGAAAACATTTAAAATGTATTTTTCATATTAATTTGGACTTTGAATTATT